GGTGGAACCACTGAGCTAAAAACCCCGGCCCTTTTTTGCCCTTTTTTTGGTACCGGGGATCGAACTCGGGTCCTTGTGCTTGCACAGCAGCCAGCGAAACCACTGAGCTAAATCCATAAAGCAATTCTTTTTTTGGGGGGGGGGTACCGGGGATCGAGCTTGGGACCTTGTGCTTGTGAGGCAGGTGCTGGAACCACTGAGCTAAATCCCCGGCCCTATAGTCTTAATCAAAGCCCATGGGATCAAATATATTTGGGAATTCCAACATTTTCGGATTTTACAAAGATAATGCCTTTCAGTGGGTCTGGGCCGTTCTAGTAATCAAACATTTAACGTTTCTATAGAGAAATGCAGTACTTTTACAGTAAGTGAGATAAATAGAACATAAATATCTTTACATCTATTGAGGTTAGGTTTTGCTACCAAATGAAATAAAAACCTCTGAGAGTACTGGGAATGTCGCTCAGTGGCACCGTGCCTTCCTGGTAAGTGTAAGGTCCTGAGTTCCATCCCTGGTACTGGGGGAAAAAAAAACTCTGAGAAAATTGTTTTCCAAACTATAGCAGCTTTTACTTAGCGTAATATTTTTGAGATTCTTAAATGTGATTATGTTTATTAATGTTCCATTACTCTTTTTTAGACAACTTTTAAAATTTATTAGTACACATTTGCCATTCATGCAGTTTACAGTCACCTTAGGGAGTGGTTACATGTACATACTACAGCTTTTTTTTTTAGCTTATTTCTTTTTTTTTTTTTTTGGTACCGGGGATTGAACTCAGGTCCTTGCTCCTGCACAGCAGGTGGCGAAACCACTGAGCTAAATCCCCGGCCAGCTTATTTCTTTTTTTAAGTCCCCTTCCCCTTCACCCCCTTCTATTCCCTTTTTTTTTTTTTGTCTGATTTTGTTTTTAATTAAATATTATGGTCACATACAAATTTGTGCTGATGTTGTACCTTCCCCACTTTAATAACACATAAAACAGTACTTTCAATCTTGTGTTTTTAAATAGCTGTTTAAATACTATCCTGAATAATAACTTAGTCCAAATTAAAGAATTCAAAAATAAAATCTAACTTGCTATTGTATCATGCTTTTAAAAGGATCTGAACTTATAGATCAACTATAAAGTGTGAGAAGTGTTAAATATTCTTTATTTAGTATTATACATACACCACACTGAAATGCCTTTTAGTAAGTAAAAGGCAGCAGGTTTTCAATGCAGGGAATTCTAATTAAATTGGCATAGTCAAGATAAAAAATGTAGATGTTCCTTCCTTGTCTTCAATCACTGCCTTTAACAAGTTAATAAATTGAAACAGGAGTCTTGCTTGGTTGTGAGACAGTGAAGGATTTCCCTGGTATTTAAACATACTCACACAACCAGTTTTATATATATAAACCTAATTGTAAAACCAACCTCCAGTGGGTTTTGAGATAACATTCTCCATCTTTGTGAAAAGTTGAATATTACTAATCAAGTCCAGCCATATGTTTAGAAAGGGAAAACAGTGATAGTATTTACTGAACTGGAATTACTATCAAAACTTGAAAAAAAAAGATATCCATTTAACTATAAGCCAATTTTACTTAAATCAGGACTGTCCAACAAAAATATTCTGTCAGCCACTCATGATCTGAATTCTGGTGTACGAGATCTATTAAATTATGGTACACATAAGAAAGCCATGAGACGTTTCTGTTCTGTAATAAATAAGGCAGTGACTATTACTCATTAGGTGCTTTTTTGAGCTATTAAGTCTCCCCTTTCTCCCTTCCTCTTAATGCCAGCGAAGATCATTTTTGTTCCGGGGATGTACTTCTAGGGATTCTCCAAGTACTCCATCCGTGTATCCTCTCCCCCGGTGATGCCTTTGTTCTCGTTGGTGTCTGTGTAGGAGAACCCAGCAGCTTGACCTGTCTTCCGCCCACACAGACCATGGAGATTTGGCCCCGTCTTGTGCTTGCCTCCCTTCTCCGCAGTGTGGCACTGGGCACACTTCTGACCAAAAATCTTCTTGCCTTTCTCAGCGTCACCACTTTTAAACCTGCCGCGGCTTCCGCGTCCGAGGCTCACTGCCCTTTCATTGTTACCACAGAGAAGCCAGACGTCCCATTCCCTACCTCGAGGACACGCTGGTCCGCGGCTAATTACCGGTGTTGGTGCAGCCACACTCGTTCTCTCTATTCCCTTTTTCATACCTGTTGATTTTATTTGTCTTACCTCATGTTATAGCATATAGTGTTGACAGTAATTGGGGTTATTAGGTTTCTGTATATGGCACATCTTTGTTATTCTCATCCTGTGAGAAATTTATAGCCTTTTGTTTTATGAGTTTGTTTTTTTTGATACTGGGGATCCAACTAGGGACCTTGTGCTTGCGAGGCAGGTGGCAGAACCACTGAGCTAAGTCGCTAGTTCTTAGGAGTTTTTTTATTTTTGGGGTCAGAAATATGTAATGCTGTAGAAGTTCCTAATTTTTGTTTTGTTTTATTTTTTGAGACAGGGTTTCCTTATGTAGTTTATGCTGGCCTTTAACTCACTAGCCCGGGGTAGCAGCCTGAGTGCTGTGATTACAGGCATGTACCACCATGTCTGCAAAAATTACTGTTTAATAATAAATTTTAAGGCAATATTTTTTTCTCTAACAGTGTTTACTGTTTTAGTTGCCTTGAAATAAGAGTTTATAGAATCTTAAAATCAGAAAGGATATATAAGCTGTGAATTATTAAAACCTTTACAGGGCTGGGAATTTAGCTCAGTGGTGCTGCTGCCTGCCTGGCAGGTGCAAGGTCCGGAGTTCAATCCCCAGTACCAAAACAACAACAACAAAAAACTCTTTATAATCTATTTTATAATTCCCATTGAAGTTACATTTTCATTAGTGAGGTACTGAGTTAAATTAAAATGACCTATATGTTTTCAAAAAAAGGTTAAAGCCATTTTATTTTGGAAAGCTAGGTCTAAGGACAACCAACTTAAAGTGGAAAGTTATATGACTGGAAGCCTGTACTTGATTTTACATTTTAAGAAGTATAATACCATGAAATTTTTTGTTTGCTTCTTCCTATATGGTGCATTGTGAGGGAGACCCTCTGGGACTTTGTATGTTTCTGAGATGTCCTGTGTTTCACTGATTTGTAAGATGCCTAGTTTTCAATATTACTATTTTGGAAAGCAGAATGAATTATGCATGTTGTTGGCTAGGTGGCTCTTGGGGTGTACTTTCATCAGTAGAACGTCAAACCCAACACCAAAACTTGTGAAATTGGCTTTCAGAATTTTCAGAATTGGGGGTCATTAGCTTGGAATAAAATCTGAGGTATATTGGTAGAATAACCTTGAGTTCTGAGGAACTGTCTTAATTACTTTTCTCTCGTTGTGGAGAGAAAATACCCAGGACCCAAAGTTAAAGGGTTTATAGAGCTTTCAGTCTATAATTGGCTAGGTCCGGGGCAGGGTGGCATTGCAGAGGAGAAAGAGTTTGTGGCCGGTAGGAGGTAGCAGAGCAACAAGGGATGACCACAGCTCTTTGTATCCCTTGTATCTTTTTTTCCAGTACCAGGGATTGAACTCAGGACCTTGAGCTTGGGAGGCAGGCATGGTGCCACTGAGCTAAATCCCTGGCCCTTTATCACTTATATCTTATTGAGGCTACTTAGGATGGGTAACACTCACACCCTTAATCTTAGTCCTGGTGTCCTTGATCCTAGCATTGCACCATGAATCAATTCCAGTGTCATACACTCTAGATCTAGCCACCTCTAAAAAAGTGCCACCTATGACTGCATGAGGCTTTGTGGAGACATCTAGCCAGAACCACGGCAGGAACTAAATAGTTGGGAACAGCAGTGGATATGAAAAATAGCTCCACTTTCCACTGCCTGAGATCTCACGGCATTAACTCTTTTATGGATTCTTTTATGAAATGTTAGATTACTAGCCTTCTACATAACAATTCTTTGTGGGATAAAAACAGAAATTGTTGAATCTGAATCAAAAAGTGATTCTTGAGGGCCCAGCTTTCATTGTGAAGTCGTTTTAGTAACACCTTAGTTGGTTTGTTTTACTTATATTTTAATTTATATATGTAAAAGATGATATATAATAAAAATTCTAAAAGTTCTTTCAGCAAATAAAGGTAAAAAGGAATAATAAGAAAACATCATAGTTTTTCTTTATTGCTTGTATATGTGATTATGTGTCCAGATATAGTGCAGTAAATGAATAGTAGATTAAATGCAATATGATTATGCAAATATATTAGATAAAATATGAGTGAGCATGTAACAGGTTGAACTACATGGCCAAAAGCTGTAGGTGGTGCTGTTGCTTCTCATGTAATTTTATTCCTCTTAATTTTAGGTGTTTTCTGTAATTTTTCCATGAGTCATATTTTGTTCTCTTTTCATCATTTGCCTGGGAGCTTTTGATTGTAGATGGGAATTGGCAGTAGAAAGGCTTACATAGATCTTAATTTTGAATTTTCTTGTAGAATTCGCTCTTTACTATGTGTGAATCAGGCAGATAGCAGTGTTTATGACAGATTGTGAGATACAGACAGTAAGATAGAGAAGACATTATTAGAATTGTAGCAGAAATCCCCTTTTCTACTCTCCATCTGTCTGAGTTAAATGCTAGGAAGGCTGTGACATAGGACCTCCCACTTTCCCAGGTTTGACTCCTTCCTCAGGCAGGAGTTCTCCATGGAAATTTGGGGCATGTTATAGTGCCATGGTAAAAAATTTTACATTTCTAGTCAGGACACACATATAAACAAATTCTACTGAAAAATAAATGTTCACAAAACAGAACGTGTCAGTTAGTTCACAAGTGCTGGTCATAACTCAGTAAGTGGATTTCATGATAAGTTTCAACTCCCATTTGAAAGACACTGTATGTGTGTATATGTATCTTTGTTCTCAGAGCTACATGAGTTGGTTGGCTAGTCCTTCCTTTAGTGTCACAGGAATTCAGTGGAAACTTTTTATTTTATAGGCTGGAGCATTGGATTTGCTGAAAGAGCTTAAGAATATTCCCATGACTCTGGAATTATTACAGGTATGTGCTCATATGTATTAGTTGTTTGTTTGTTTGTTTTCTGTTTTCTGGTACTGGGGATTGAACTCAGGACCTTGCACTTGCCAGGCAGATGCGGCGCCACTGAGCTACATCCTCGGCCCTGTATATTAGTTTTTGAATTGGTAATTCTTTGTAAAATACTAAGACGTCTTCAGCACTGGTATGAGGATTTATTACTGTCCCCTTATGGTATAAATTACCATTAACTTTTTAAAAGACAGCAATATAAATTAATAATCTTCTAAGTTGCCATCATAAAAATTTGTTACCGTTCTCGAGACTAAAACTTGAATTTAGGGTTGGTAGTGGCAGTAAAATCTTGTGAGAAAATTTTGAACTTGTGGCCCTGATTTGGTCTCGCAGCATTTCACTTTCTTGGTCTGTCATCTGTGGCTGCTGCCAGCAAGAATCTAGCCTCCGGGTAAAGATGAGAGAATATCATTATTTTCCTTTTTTAAGCAATAGCCAAGCATGTACACAGTGGGACATCTAGTAGACGTTACATAGATTTAGTACTGAAGTCTCTTTTGTTCCATCAAGATTAAAATAAAGCAGGGTGTGGTGGCTCATACCCGTACGAATTCTAGCACTGTGGAAGGCCGAGGCAGGAGGATCACAAGTTTGGCTTCAGTCTGGGCAATTTATTGACTTAGTGAGACCTGTCTCAAAAATAAAAATAAAACGGGGCTGAGGATGTAGCTCAGTGCAAAGGCTCATTGTAGATTCAGTTCTTAGTACCACAATACATCCATACATGTATATATACATACAGCTTTAATAAAAATCAAAATGTTAAAGATGGATATAAATATAGTCAATAACAGGAACTTGGCTATTTTTCGTTAGAGATATCCTGTTAACCCATGAGTGTCTTCCTTAATATTTCTGTTTCATGAAGTGACAATTTGGAAATGAGTCACATGAGTATGTGAACATGGTTGGGGAAAAAAGTAGCATTTATTTTCACTAATATCTAACTGAAATCGAACATTTCTTTTAATCATCAATGCAGTTAACTCCAGTTATATTAACAGTATTTATGGCCATAACCAAAAGAATTCACAAATATTTTAACTTTTAAAAAATTTTTTATTTTTTGGTACTGGGGATCAAATTCTGGACTTTGCCCTTGAGAGGCTGGCGGAGGCACCACTGAGCTAAATCCCCGGCCCCACAAATATTTTAATTTTAATTAACTACAGTTACAGATGTATTAAAATCCATTTTTGTTTATAATGGTGCTCTTATACCTTATGTTAGATCTTATGTAATATTTTGATAAGAAAACAAATTA